ATGCAGGTTCTGGACTGCCACAATTTCTCAGTTCCCCAAACTTGTTATCCAGGTTCTGGACTGCCACAATTTCTCAGTTCCCCAAACTTGTTATGCAGGTTCTGGACTACCACAATTTCTCAGTTCCCCAAACTTGTTATCCAGGTTCTGGACTGCCACAGTTTTTCAGTTCCACAAGCTTGTTATGCAAGTTCTGGACTGCCACAACTTCTCAGTTCCACAAGCTTGTTATGCAAGTTCTGGACTGCCACAATTTCTCAGTTCCACAAGCTTGTTATGCAGGTTCTGGACTGCCACATTTTCTCAGTTCCACAAGCTTGTTATGCAGGTTCTGGACTGCCACAGTTTTTCAGTTCCACAAGCTTGTTATGCAGGTTCTGGACTGCCACAATTTCTCAGTTCCCTTCACTTTGTCAAGTTGAGTTCCTCATGCTGTTTTGACTAACGTATATTCTTTATTTTCCCAATTCTCTTCAGATTGATATGGCGAGATACTAATATTGTTTTGAACCGACGTATTATATCATGATTTCTCTCTTCAACAGTGAGATGTTTCGGAGAGTATCTAGGATGTATTGAATTGATCTCCATTCTTCGTTTTCCCTCGTCCACAAGCGCTGTAAACAGTGCGTGTTTGGTATCACTTGTAAAAGAAACAAAAAGAACACCACTTTTATCCAGTAAAAACGAAAAGTATAAAACATGCGCATGTCTTATTTATTATGCTGACATTTTATTTTCAGTCTGCAACAGGAATTCTTATTTTCCATCTATAATTTTTTACAGAATCAAGAAAATACCAAATTGACAGAACGAGAGTGAATAAGAAGCTAAAAAGCGAAATCCCATAAAATGTGGCCCGGCATAGCCAGGTGGTTAGGCCGCTCGACACGCAATCTGAGGGTCGCGAGTTCGAATCCCCGTCACACGAAACATGCTCGCCCTTTCAGCCGTGGGGGCGTTATAATGGGACGGTCAATCCCACTATTCGTTGGTAAAAGAGTAGCCCAAGAGTTGGCGGTGGGTGGTGATGACTAGCTGCCTTCTCTCTAGTCTTACACTGCTAAATTAGGGACAGCTAACGCAGATAGCCCTCGTGTAGCTTTGCGCGAAATTCAAAACAAACAAACCCATAAAACGAGGCCAAAGCAGTTAGTAGAAAAATTCTGGAGGGTGGGAAAGAACGATAGCATGTATTTACTGTTTAAAAAAACAGCGCATAGCCTAGTAATTAGTGTGTCGAACTGAGAATCAAGGGCATGACGTCACTGAACACACTCCACACTTTTACCTGTGGATGCATTATAACACGACAGACAGTCAATCCCCTTATTCGGTTCCAAGAGCTGAACAAAGCTCTTGTGGCGGTGGGTGTTGCTGAGTGCTTGTCTTCCCTCTGGTTAGCAGTTCAAAATTAGAGACGGATATATCTGAATCCTGTAGAAGTCTCTGATCTGGCCGAAAACTAACATACACATGAGGTTGAAAATTCCAATTCCATTTTTCTATCATGTTTTTTCGTCATGTGTACAAAATAAAATGTTACTTAAGACCGTTTTTGATAAAACCGTATGAAAAATGTTTGATTGTTAATTTCTAAATCATGCAATCTCATGACTATTAGAACATAACTGCCTGTTTCCTCGGGCGTTTATTAACAGAAAGTTGTATGTTTCGGTGTATGTTCGTGTTTAGAAATTTCTATGTCTTATCACCGTTCATATTAATAGTATAAACCTTATAAACCCCATAACATTGTTAGAAAGAACCATCCAAACCTCGTGTTTCTGATAGATGCACTCCCCACACACACTACCTTAGTGGCTCAGCGATAAGTCTGTGGACTTATGGTGCTAAAGAATCGTGTTTCAATACCAGTGGTGGGCACAGCACAAATAGCCATTGTGTAGCTTTGTGCTTGACAAAAACTAACCAACTGATAGATGCACATGACAAAGTCAACAAGCAATATTGCTATCACTCCTTCGTGGCCATTTCTGTACGTGGATGATTATAAATAAATGTTATTATCCATCCCTAGGCATCCTGTTTATATTTTGGCTCGTTAAGTGTATCACCAGAACAGTTGATATGGCAATATGGTTTTACCACTTAGTGACGGGAGCATGTATAGCACTATTTTCATCGCTAGGGGGTGAGAGAAACATATTCAAATATTACAGTAATTTTCACATGTTTGAGTTTGATTTTGCTTTGACGACAATTGTTTAATATCTAAAATTTGAAGAATACATAAATACATTTGGATATTGAAAAATGTATGGCTGATAAAAGTTAAGTCTTTTTTTTTCCAGGTGATATACGGTAGGATAAGGCCATCCCCTCCAACCCCATAGACACGCCACTGTATAGCGATTGCCATCGGTAAAATATGGGTTGCCCCCAGTGGCACAGCGGAATGTCTGCGTACTTACAACGCTAGAACCCGAATTTCCATACCCGTGGTGGGCAGAGCACAGATAGCCCATTGTGTAGCTTTGTGCTTAATTACAAACAAACAAAATTTGGGTTAGGTACGTAAATTAGTCGTTTACTAAATCATTATAGAATGGTGCTTTGAGATATTTCATAACTGTAATTATTTGTATGCACAAACAAAACAGAGTATGGATACTGTTCGTAACAATAGGTTCTGAGAAAGCTAAAAAAAACAAAAACACTGAAAAATTGGAAATTAGGTTAATACTTATAAAGTTTCACATTTCAATGTTCTAACAGTTCTAATCGTATATTAACTGAACTGGTATAAAATTAAGAACATATTTTTGTTACCATATGAAAGGTTCATATATTTATTTTCTTAATTAATTTAAATTATTTAATTAAGCACAGGAAAGATAAAAACATTTCCCATGTATTCACTTGTACAATATATTAGTGTATAATTTTTCGACATTACTTGCTTGTGTTTTTCAGATTGTTGACTAGGAAATACGAAGAGGAAATTTGAAGATTTTTATCCAGTTCAACAGCAAAAATCGAATTATTTTAATTGATATCTTGTCCACCAGGTGTGTTTTTCTTTGTGATCAGGAAAATGGTTCTGAGTAGCGTTATTGGCGTTTTTCTGTTACTCGGTTTATCGGAAAGTATGGATTTAAAGTATTCAGAAATACAAAAGCTTTTAAAAAACAGAACCTGTTTTATGAAGGACACGTGTGCGACACAATTGGTAAACAGTTTACAGATACGACATTGCATGTGCGACGACTTGTGTGGAAAATACGACGATTGTTGTGTGGATATAAAGTCTCGCAAGCACGATAAAGAACACTGGAAATGCACCAGATTAGCCGGAAATTTATCTGTGTACGTTAAGGATAGATGTAAATCTGGGTGGAAAGGAGAAGAGATTCGCAGTCTTTGTGAAAGTGCCAGGAAGGAAACCGTTGGCCTCCTAAGTGAGACGCCAGTTTCTAATGTTGTGACTGGGGTTGTATACAAGAATAACTACTGTGCTATCTGTAATGATGAAGTAGCCGATATGGCGATGTGGAATCTGAAATTGATTTGTCCCTCAATTAAAAAAGACGATATGAAAAACTTGACAGAGTTAGGTATAATAAAAAAATTGGTACGTGATAAACATAACCAGAGCTGGGGATTTCAAGGAGAAACCTTTCAGCCCTGCAGAATTTTTCCAAGCCCCCCAAATCCCATACCGGAGAATCTGAGGTTCTGCCGGAACGACCTCATCTCCGAGTGTCTTCCTGATTGGAGTGACGATGACGTGAAAAGGAAATGTGCAACTTACATGGGAGCTATGTACACCAAGGTCAAAGGTTACCGTAATGTCCATTGTGCTGTCTGTAACAACGTCAGTGTCACTAATCTGAGATGTAGGCAACCTTCTGTCGCGAAGAGCTCAATCTTTAAATCTAACGCCTTCTCCCTGTTGTTCGATTTTAACACCAAAATGGGAGAATACGTTGGAGAAGATGTTATATGTGAGGACGAAGAACGCTACGACTTTCTTCTCAAACGTTGTGTAGACATATCTTGTGGTATACCTGGTTACAAGTACATATCTGGCAAGTGTGTTGCACCATCGCCACCACTGTTTACAACGTCTCAACCAGACTCCTCTAGTACGCCCTCTTCAAAGTATGGTCGAAGAGAGGACGAGAGAACAGAGACACCTGACTTCGAACCCCCAGAAAGAAACAACAACATACAACAAGATGCAGATACTACTTTAGACGAAATATCAACTCAAAACTACACACTTTCAACCGACAGTGAAAAATCGGAATATCCTGAAGATTTTAAAAGCTGTCTTAAAGTTTTAATTTTCATGAAAGAATATAAAATTTTAGAAGATGGTGACATTTTTATTCCAAAATACGAACAAACATACAATCAGTCTTACTACATATTTGATGGAAAGAATGTAATGGTTTGTGGAAGCGATAAACTTTCAAAATCTAATCGCAAAGAAACGTTTTCTGTTTATCTTGGATACATAAGCAACATTGGCTTAGGAATATCATTGATGTTTTTAGTTCTTCATTTCATTATTTTTATAATAGTTCCAGATCTTCACAACATCTGTGGGCGAAACTTGGCATCGTTAGCTGTAGCATTAATTACTTCTTATTCCTGTTTCATTATTGGACAGTTTAAGCTCTCACGAGCTGTTTGCAGCATCGTAGCAGTAGTGATGTATTATTCCTTCTTAGTTTCCTTTTTCTGGATGAATATTCTGGCCTTTGACGTTTGGAGAACATTGCGAATGGCCACAAAGAATCTCCGCGTGTCTAACGGTAAACAATGGCGTCGTTTCATGCTCTACTCCGTGTATTGTTGGGTTGTTCCTGCCATCATTGTCGTTTCATCTGTTGTACTTGAAAACATTGATAGTATTCCTAAAGAATACAGACCTGCATTTGGCATGAGTCGTTGTTGGTTTAGCCACAGGAGAGCTCTGTTGATTTTCTTTGCTGCACCTGTTGCACTGATCATGCTAATTAACATTACATTTTTCCTCCTAAGCGCAAGGATGATTGTAGCTACTTCTAATACCACAGCTAAACATCAAGAGTCTTGTAATTCTCCAAAGAGAAATTTTAGATTATACGCTAAATTATCTGTGTTGATGGGCTTGTCGTGGGTCTTTGGACTTGTAGCGGGATATTCTGGTTTTGAGGGCTTGTGGTTCGTTTTCGTGGTTTTCAACACACTTCAAGGAATGTTCATTTTCTTTGCCTTCTCCTGTACAAGAAAGGTGAGAAAACATCTTATAGAAAAACTTTCTACTCTGACCAAGCCGTCTGTTTACCGTTCCAAGAGATTAAACTATGCTACTGCATCTGGCTCTGGATACCAATCACAATGTACTCTTAACTCTCATCTGTCACATCGAAATTCTTCTCTGAGCCAGATGAATCCAAACCATATCAGCGTCTGCCAGTCACCAACGTAAGTTTAATGGAACTGACATGTCAACATTTCTGTGCATCACGGACTGACTCTTGCAGCTGTTTATATATATATATATATATATAATATCTGTAGAATATATATAA